GAGCACTAATGTCAAAGCAGCAGAACTCCCACTGGAGTTCTGTGTTCCTGTGTGTTCTGTTCTTAACCTGTCAGAGTCCTGTTGGTCTAGAAAACTCTGTCCAGCCTTGGGAGGGAGAGACAGCCTGTTTGGTTTCAGCCTGGCATGTGGCTAAATGGTGGTTTGCTACATGATGGGGTTACTTGATTAGGGCTTGGAGGGTCAGTTTGATGTCATCTGCTTTTCTAGCTCCATGTAGCCCCTTGCACACAGACAGCCATCTTCTCTAGCTGGACTTCCTTGGCTTTCCAAGTGACTAGGTTGCTTCCCGTTGGCAATGGGAACCTCATCTCCCTCCAGGAGGGCATTTGGTTTTCTGCTCTGTTGGTTACAGGGACCGAGTTTAGGTCATCAGGTTGGCACTAAGCATCTTTACCTGTCAAGCTATCTTGAAGGCCTGATCTTGAATTTTTGATATTCTGCCTCTGTCTCCTACATGTCACAAACCTGTCTTATATGGTGCTGGAGATCCAAACCCAGGGCTTTATGCATGCCCAGCAGATACTCTTTTGACCTGTATGTGTCCAAGATCTGAAAAATGGCATGAAGGTACAACCCCATCAGTTCCCAAATGTTGGCCTGGGTATCATGGTTACAGACGGATAAGAGCCATCACTGCTGCTAAGCAGTGACGGTTGATGAACAGAGGCTGTGTTCCTTCCAGCTGGCCCCTGCCATCAGGGAACACACAGAGGTGTGCCAGGGTTTTTTTTTTGCCATTTGGGGGATACATGTTGGCTGGACTGTCCACATTGGGTGCGAAATGTTGGTGGTTCAAAGCAGTAGTTCTGATTGACTAAAGTTCTTGGTACTTGGCCTGCCCAGTAGCTTTTACAGCATCCAGGTCAGTCGACCTGCACAGTGGGTAGAAAGCTTGCCTATTACACACAAAGCTTAGGGTTCCATCCCCAGTACTGCATATGCCAGCTACCGTGGTGCACATCTGTAATCCCAGTACTTGTGAGATGGAGTCAGGAGGCAAGAGGATCATCCTGTCTTGTATAGCAGTTACTAGATTTATTTTTTTGTATGGGGTGCTGAGGATCAAACTAGTAGTCTTGTGCATGTTTGGTAAGCACTAAAACTCTGAGCTATCTCCCAGCCCTGTTTTTGATTTTTAGGTCTGTGTAACCCAGGCTAGCCTGAAACTCGCAATCCCCCTATCTTTGCCTCTGGGGGGTGGGTCAACGTTGAGAGAATGAGGGTTGTCAGAAGCTCTGGTTGTGGAGCCTGGGATGTGAAGGAATGTGATGCCACCAGATGACAATGGGAATTGACTTGACGGGGACCAGGTTGTGGCCACTCACCTCACCCCCCTTTCTTCCTCTCTTGCAGATGAGCAAGGTATGGAATGACCTGAAGCCGAAGCTGAGCTGTCTCTTCGCTGGACCTCACAGCGTGTTGACACCACCGCGCTCCCCGCAGGAGGACGGTGTGTGTCCCCACTAGTGGGAAGGTCCACAACAGAGTTCCCTGTGGCCTCACTAAGACCTCTTTGCAAACAGTGTGTCCCTGCTGATTCCCTCCAGGCAGCAGCCATTGCCCTGAGATGCCTGTGGGCTGTGCTGGTGGTTTCTATGTCTCCCTGCTCCTGGGCAGGTCTATGTGCTCCCAGATTGCCCCATGACCCGTTGATCAGGTCGGTAGTGGGAAATTAGGGTGCTTTGGAATGGATTGTGCCCAATGCCCACACTGCTTAGGGCCCTTTATAGCCAGCAAGTGGTGTCTGGGGGAGTGTGGAAGGGTCACTGAATGCTGGGAGAGCCTAGTGGTTAACCTAGCAGCAAAGAAGTGGGAGGGCTAGCCTGCCCTGGGCCTTGGCAGTACTGCCTGGCAAGGAGCTGGCCAGTCTCTGAGGGTGGGACTGTGGCTACAGACTAGGGCCTGCAGACATTCTGGGAGGTATATTAGAAGCCAGGCAGGAAGTAGGAGAGCGCAGTGGTTTGGTGCTTTGGAGGATATGTTTCACTCCAGTGATGGCTGTGGAGTCCTGGTCTAAGGCCCCTCAGGGTCCACAGTGGGTGAGGGCTCAGGGTCCTTTCTTGTGTTGGGTTTTAGAGGGTGGGAGTGAGGAGGGCTTTGTGGAGGAGCACTGGAGATGGGCATCCCTGTTGGGTGCCCAGGCCTCAGGGTCAAGAGTATAGGCCACTTCCCACCAGGCTGTCAGGCAGCAGGTTCCACCTGGATGTGAACAGCTTCCTTACTGGTCTGCTCTCCCGCCCCAGCCCACTCTCCTACCCCAGTGTTTTTAGTGCTCTAAGGCCCCGAGCCTGGCAGTAGAGTATGCCTTTTCTCACTCCTTGCCTGGGCTGTGGGTGCTCGACTCCAAACTTGAGGTTCCATCCCTAGGGTGCAGGGGAGCCAAGAGTGCCTGTGCCCTTCTGGCATCCTGCTGCCCAAGCCTGTGTGCCACACCACCATGTTCGGGCTGCCAGAAAGATGGGAAGCACAAGTATCGACAGATCTCCCACCTGCTTGTCTCTTCTCCTGGGCCGAGCAGGGGCCAGCTTCAGCCTTAACTGTGGGAGCGAAGGGAACAGTCTCTTAGGTGCTTTCTACTCCGTGTTAGCCTGCCCAGCTAGGTGGGGCAGCAGGGCTCTGGGACATTGCTGTGGGGACTCTGGGCTGAGGGAGCCAGAAAGCTGGTGCTGTGGGATTCGGCTGGATGAATGAAGCACTTTATGAACTGCGGGAATCAGTTACTGCCACACCCAATAAACTGGAAGTGTTTACAGATGGTTTCCATGCTGCCATTTCTCTCCACAAACCCCCATGAACACAGCCAAATGTGTCTTGAAACTGGAGTCTTACATTTCGGGATGGGCAGTTGCCCCTGGCTTGGTGGTCCCAGTGGGAGAGTGTGGTATGGCAGGTTCCTGGATATAGAAGCATTGCTTCCTCCTGGAGGGAGCCTCCTGAGACTCAGAAACTTGCACAGTTTACAGGTTTCAGAAATCTGAAAAGCACATGGTTCACAAGGTCCCTCCCTGCAGTGGTGCCCACAGTGACAGTTGTTGAGGGGAGAAGATGCTGCCCCGTTGAGCTCCCCCTGCATAGCATAGCACTCCAGGGCTGCGGCTCTCAGTCCTGACCATGCTGTGGTTGGCTCTTCTGTGAGCTAAGAGCTTCCTCACCCTCCTGGAAGTCACCATGGTAAGCTCACTGGCTCACAAAGTCAGACTGCAGAGTCATTTCTTTGGTGCCAAATCAACTGAGTATGTTTCCTGTTGCTGTGATAAAATTCCCCAACAAAAGTAGCATACTGGGGGAGGGTTTATTTTAGTTCATACAGTCTGCCACTTTGGGGGGTCAAATGTAAGAGCTGAGCACATTGCATCCAGAGTTAAGCAGAAAATAGATCAAAGCCTGCATGCTGGTGCTCAGCTTGCTTTCTGCACCCTCATATTGTTCAGGATTCCCTCCCTAGGGAATCATGCCACTCATAATAGGTAGATCTTCCTACTTGAGTTAACATAATCAAGATGATCGCCCAAACATGTCCACAGGCTGACCTAATTTAGACAATTCCTCACTGAGACGCTCTTCCCAGGTGATTCTAAATTGATAGTTAAAACTGACACAGGGCCTGGAGGAGATGGCTCAGCAGTTAAGAGCACTTGCTCTTCTTCCAGAGGACCCAAGTTCAGTTCCCAGTTCCCAGTTCCCACATCAGGTTGCTCACAATGTCTATAACTTCAGCTGCAGTGGAATCACCATCTCTGACTTCTATGGTACCTGTTCTCACTTGCACATTATCCCTACCCCATGTACTTAACTAAAAAATGAATCCAAGAGAAGGGGCTGCAATTATGCACTTCTCTCAGCACTTACATCTCAGCCCCTTTAGGTTTAGGGAGTTTGAGCTAACGTTGTACTTGGCTTTTGAGTATGATACAGTGTGTGTGTATGTGTATGGGGGAGCTGTCCATTGTGGGTGCTAGGAGCTGAACTCTGGTCCTCTGCAAGAGCAGTATTTCTGAGCCATTGTTCCAGCCCTCCTGTTGGATTTCCTTAAAAGGTTCCCTCTTCCTGATGGAGAAATGGTTTTCTATGAAGCAGTTAGGGATAGTTAGGATGCAGCATGAAATGTCACAGCATGGTTTCAGAGACCCACTGATAAACACTGGCACCTGAGAGGTTCCTGGTCTAATATGTAGCCCAGGAAGTCCTGGCTGCTCCCCCATTAGGGGAGTGTCTGCTTCACTATAACCACAACAACGGGAAATGCAGCCAGTGACCTGGTTGGGAACCCTGCTGCAGTTAGTATCAGGTTTTGCAAGTTCTCCTCTGATTAGTTATCTTTATCTGGTTCACCTACAGCCTCAGCCTATCAGGCCTCACTTGAGGCTAGATAAACGCCTGGACATGGCCTTTCAGTAAGTTCAGCCCCTAGCTGGAGTCTAAGTGCTGGTTGGCAGTCCATCTGCCTAGAAAGGAATGCTTGTCTTTCTCTGAGATACCACTCCCCTCTGCCTCCCAAGACCCACAGCTCTAGTTTCTCTCATGGCATCCTGCTCTCGAAGATTTTTCTTCAGATGCCTGCTCTTGCCTGGCATCCTGCCCTCACCAAGCATTTCAGAGCTTCTAATTTTCTATTCAGATCGTCGCTCCTGCATTAAAAAATGTCCTCTTGGGGGCTGGAGAGATAGCTCAGAGGTTAAGAGCACTGACTGCTCTTCCAGAGGTCCTGAGTTCAATCCCAGCAACCACATGGTGGCTCACAACCATCTGTAATGAGATCTGGTGCCATCTTCTGGCTTCTGACCTGCAGGCATACATGTGGTAGAACACTGTGTAAATTATAAATAAATAAATCTTTAAAAAACATTTCCTCACCTCATCCTTTGGTGTCCATCCACTCAGTTTCAGGTAGTGCGACAAGACGAAGAATTGGCTGTCTCTCTTTCCTAGCCAATCACTTGTGCCACTGACTTTTCTTGATGCTGTAATCACGTAGCAACTTAGGGGAGCAAAGGTTTATTTTGACTCATAGGTCAATCAAGGGGATACAGTTCATCATGGTAGATAAGGCATGAGATGGCTGGTCACATCATGAGGAAGCAGAGAGCAGACAGGGAAGTGGGGCCTACCTATAAAACCTTAGGGCCCATCCCACATCTCTCTGACCCCAGTAACTCAGTTCCCTCATTGTTCCTAAGGGGTCACAACCTTCCAAAACAGGACCAGTAGGTGGAGATGAAGTATTCAAGCATAGTAGCATATCAGTGACATTTCACATTTCCAACCCCAACACTCCGCAAACAAAATATCAGTCCTTCCTGTGGTGGGCTTGGACTGACAGCTTGTGGCTGTGTAGTGACCTGAGTGTGGCTAGAATCCACCAAGCCTCTGTATTAGAATCCATCCACCTCACGAAGCGAGTAGTCAAGGATGGTGTCCTGATCCTGGAACTTGAAATACCCACAGAACTTCTTCTTCTGAAGCAGGAGTGGGAACCAGTAGCTGTCATCAGGCCACATGTCTGCAAAGGGAATCTGGTCCAGTTGGAACCACTGAGGGCGCATTTCTGGATTGGGGCAGGGGTGAGGGCATGGGAAGGAGGAAGAACATTGATGTTAAGCATTGATTTCAGCCAACCTGAGCGGGATTACCCCCTGCATCTGTGTGAACACCTGTTTGGGGACTTTGTTTTGTTTGAGACATGGTCTCACTATGCAGCCTTGGCTGACTTTGAATGCAGAGATCTGCTATGTATCTGAGTATGTGTGAATGAATGCCATATGTGTGGGTGCCAGAGGAGGCCAGAGAAGAGCTGGAGTTACAGCTAGTCATCCACTGCCAAGTGTGGGTGATGGAGACTAGTAACTGCCCTTTATCCAATGGGATCTCTCTCCAGCTGTTTGGACTTTTTTGGTGGTTGTTTGTCAAAAAAGTTTTTACAGGTTATTTTTTACTGCATATATACATATATGTCTGTGTGTGGGTGTAGGCATATGAGTGCAACTGCCCACAGAGGTTTTAGATCCCCCTATAAAGCCAGTGTTAGTTGTGAGCCATCTGGTATGGGTGCTGGGACCAAACTTGGGTCTTTTGGAAGAGCAGTATGTGATCTTAACTGCTGAACCAGTTTTCCAACCTCTTCCCTCTTTAAACTTTGTGTGTGTGTGTGTGTGTGTGTGTGTGTGTGTGTTTTGCCTTTCTTCTTTCCCTTCCTTCTTCCGAGACAGGGTCTCACAGTGTGGGTCATGTTGGCTTTGAACTCACAGAGAAACCCTGTCTCGAAAAGTAATAAACAACAACAAAAAGCTTGTATCAATATGTGTAGTTGATTTTCATATTTTGTGAAATAAAGACATGGGCTTGCAAGGCAGTAATGGCACAGGCCTGAGTTCAAAGCCAGCCTGGTTTACAGAGCCAGTTCCAGGACAGCCAGGGCTACACAGAGAAACCCTGTCTCACAAAGAAAAAGGGTGGGGGGCTCATATTTGGGCTACAAGACTGCTTTGCTTGTCTGTCCTTGGTTCTGAGGACAACCAAAGAGGAGGAATGTGGGCAGACTTGGGGCCTATACTTGGCAAGGTCTGATTCCGTTCTCCTAGGCAGGCAAGTGAGGCTGGGTGCACCTCTCTGCCTATGGTGGGAAGAAGGGAGTGGGGCCCAAGGCTCACCGTCACTCTCTGTGGGCGTCCCATGCACATGGTCAGTAGAGAAGACATGCACATCCATCAGCTCGGGGGAACCCACAAACTCAAATGAGATGTGGCCCACCTTGTGCAGTGCATCTACCGTCAGGCCACTCTCTTCCTGCAGCTCCCTGCAGCAGAGGTGGATAAGGAAGAAGTGGCGTTAGCTCGTGGGCATCCATGCTTAGAAGGGCCAGGGCCATGGGAGTGTAGCCTTAGGACCTATGGGCTGCATATTCTAGGAGGACATCATGCAGAGGTGTTGCTATAACCAATTTAGGAAGGAAATTATATAAATTCAGGCATGGTATTGCACACCGATAATCCCAGCACTCAAGAAGCTGAAAGCAGGAAGATTTGGGCTCTGAGACCAACTTGGGCTATATAATTAAAAGCCAGCTGGAATATGCAGAAAGAGCCTCCAAATTTTAAAAGCTGGCCATAGTGGTATACACCTTTAATCCCAGCACTCTGGAGGTAAAGGCAAGTGGATCTCTGTGAGTTCAAAGCCAATCTGGTCTACAGAGCACCTGTGGGTCCCAGGGGTATTTCCCCCTTTCCAGGTCTTCACCCCCTACCAGGGTGGCTCTGTGGTCAGACCTCCCTTTTCCTCACCTCTTAGCTCCATCCTCAATGGTCTCTCCTTCCTGCACTTTGCCCCCGAAGCCATTCCATCGGCCAGCACCAAAGCCCCTCTTCTTCATGCCCAGCAGAACTCGCTGAGGCTGCAGCACCAGCACCAGCGTGTAGAGCCTGGAGTTGCCCATGGTCTTCTGCGTCCTGTGAAAAGGGTCAGAAAATGGGGTCTGTTAGAGTGTGCATCAAATGTGTGTGGTAGTGAATGGTGGCCAGGTGGGAAGGAGGTTTCATTCTGGGAGAAGTGGAAAATGAGGCTGGCTAGTAATTTCCCAGCCACAGTGTAAATGGCTTCCAGGACAGATGAAATGTGCTTTGAGCCCTATCCTCCCCATTTTTTTTTTCCAGATCGAGGGATGGAACTCAAAACCTTAAGCATGCTACTCAAGGGCTCTACCACTGAGCTGCACCCCAGCCCCTCACTGGGGGATTCTAGGCCTCTAGGCTGGTGCTCTACCATTGAGATACACCCCAGCCCCTCACTGGGGGATTCTAGGCCTCTAGGCCGGCGCTCTACATACTGAGCTATCTTCTGGACCCCCCCCCCCACTGGGACCCTCCTAAGAGGTGACAATGTACAAGGGACCTGAATGGGGCTAGAGAAATGCCATTGGTTAAAATCATCTGCTGCTTTTCCAGAGCACTGGAATTCCATTCTTAGCATCCACACAGTGGATCACAATGGTCTAACTCCAGTTCTGATGGCCTCTTCTGGTCTTTTTGGGTACCAGGAACAAACATAGTACACAGATATAAATGCAAGCAAAACATCTATACTCATACAATGTAAGTCAAAAAAAAAAAAAAAAAGCTGTGTGGTGGTGGCACATGCCTTTAATCCCAGCACTTCAGAGGCAGAGGCAGGAGGATCTCTGAGTTTGAGGCCAGCCTGGTCTACAGAGTGAGTTCCAGGATAGCCAGGGCTACATAGAGATACTCTGTCTCCACAAAACAAAACAACTTGAAAAGGGAAGCTTGGCCCTGATAGTGAGGGTGGTCAGCAGAGGAAGTGGGCTTAACATTGGCCTGTGTCCTTGTCCTGACACTGACTTGCCCATGCCTGAGGTCCTGGCTTCCTAACACAGCAAAGTCAGCCATCTCTTACATGCACCAGCTATAGACAGCTGTTTTTCCATATCCACAGATGACTGGTACCAGGATACCCCCATCCCACCATGGATACCAGAATTGAAGCCTGGTGAAACTGCTTCTAGGGAAATGGCATATTTGCATATATAACTTAATCCTCTAGCTCACTTTAAAGGTAACACAAATACTATGTAGTTTTCATGTAGTGAGTAATGACAGATATCCACATGTTCAGTAGATGAGTGATTTGGTTTGCAAGTATTTTAAATGAGATAGTGTCATGCCATGTAGTCCAGTCTGGACTTAAACTCACAATCTTCCTGCCTCAACAATTGTACTCGTATGTATGTAGGTATGTATGCATCTGTCTTTTTTTTTTTTTCTTTTATTTTGGTTTTTCGAGACAGGGTTTCTCTGTATTGCTTTGGAGGTTGTCCTGGAACTCACTCTGTAGACCAGGCTGGCCTTGAACTCACAGAGATCCACCTGCCTCCCCCAACGCATGAGTCTCTCTCTCTCTCTTTCTCTCTGCATTCACAAATTCAAGAGGATGTTGGAGCCTCTGAAGCTGGAGTTATAGGCAGTTGCGAGCCACTTTACATGGGTGCTGGCAATCAAACTCAGGGCCTACGCAAGAGCAATAAACACTCTTAATCACTGAGCCATCTCCCTAGCTCCATCTACTTTCTATTTTTTTGTTTTGTTTTCTCTCTGTCTCTCTCCTCTCTTGGTTTTCAAGACATGGTTCTCTGTATCTTTGGAGCCTGTCCTAGAACTCACTGTATAGACCAGGCTGGCCTTGAACTTACAGAGGTCCACCTGCCTCTGCCTCCGGAGTGCTGAGATTAAAGGCATGTGCCACCACTGCCTGGCTGTTTTTGTTTTGGTTTTTGAGACAGGGTCTCTCATTGGAACTTGTAGCTCATGGAGTTAGCAGACTAGCTGACCAGGCTGCTCCAAGGATCCAGTTGTCTTTGCCTCCCAGCACTGGGGTTATAGGTGCAAGCCACATTGACTATTTATGTGGGTTCCGGAGCTTGAAAATTCCTCATGCATTTAAAGCAAGCATTTCACAGGCCCAATTAACCTTGTTTTCAAAAGCAACTCCATTTACTATGACTAAGAACTGTATAAGGGGCTGGAGAGATGGCTCAGAGGTTAAGAGCACTGACTACTCTTCCAGAGGTCCTGAGTTCAATTCCCAGCAACCACATGTTGGTTCACAACCATTCGTAATGAGCTTTGGTGCCCCCTTCTGGCCTGCAGGGATACATGCAGACAGAATACTGTATACATAACAAATAAATAAACCTTTAAAAAAACTGTATAAGGCTTTCGCAGGAGAAAAACTGATGCTCGGGGTCTAAATTTGAAACGGGGTCAAACGGCAGAGCCTATAAGGAAAGTAGGGTGTCTTGGACGTCAATTTAGTGTTCCCTCAGATCAGGTAGCTGTGATGTGGTAAATCGGATGCCTCTCAGGAAGCTTTCAAATGCTAGGGGTTGGGGTGTTGATAACTATCCGGTCTGAATTGAAGCCAACTATTGTAGGTGTTGGAGGCAACACAGACCTGCCTGCAGGGGGCACTCTGCAAATCCTGTTCCCTAGCCTCCCCTTCCTGGAGCTATGTCTGGTACAACCTTTGCAACCTGCAAACTGCCCCTGCACCAGTTTACCGCCCAAGCCCCAGGTTCCAGGTCCCCCTTCCCTCTCATTTCTGCTCCCTACGGTCTGTACCTTCCCTAGTCTCTCCGACCTCGAGGCTACCCAACACTCAGTTTTTCCGGGCTGGCTTGAAGCAACATCCCAGTCTTCCTGACTGGCTTGAAGAAGCACCCCAATCCTTCCGCCCCCTCCCATCTCAGATCTCCCCCGGCACCCCAAAACCCCCGATCTCCCGCGTCTCTCCGGAGTTCAGCTCTCACGCACAGCTAACCATCCATACCTTCGCGCCCCAGCCACAGCTTCCTGGGGCGGGGCCTTGTGCTGGAAGCAAGGGCAGGACTTCCGGCGGCGGGAGGAAACCGCCAGCTAGCACCCATGGCTTGGTGAGTAGAGAGTCACTGCGTCGGCATGCACTTTAAGTGCTCCTGCTGCATAAGTGCGTGGAGTGGACAACAAAAGTGGGACTCTCAGTGTCTCGGGCCGCAAAGGGGCGCTGGTAGCCTGTGTCTCGGGATGCGGGACACGTGTGCACGGTGTTTATTCTTGTGCCGACATGAGTGAGTGAGGTTTTCTATGAGGAAGAGTGTATGGGCTGGGGACATGGCTCAGCGGATAGAAATGTGCATGAATGAGGACTGGAGTTCGGATGCCCAGAACATATAGAATGCTGGACTTGTGTGCTGACCAAATGTGAAGCCAGTGCTAGGGAGGCAGAGACGGGGCTCCTGGAACAAGCTGGCTAGCTAGTCTGTGACCTTACCTCAGTATGTAAGGTAGATAGCAAACAGGGAGGACATCCCTTGTCAACTTTGGGTCCCCGTACACACGCAGAACACGTGCACACACATACTAATACATATGAGTGCATACCGCACATTCATAAGCAAAAAAAGTAGGTTGAACCAAGACCTCCAGGCTGCCTCTTTGTAATAATGTCCACCTGCTAACTCCTTTCTCGCCACCAGGTATCTGAAACTGGTAGGCGTTCCCTTTAGGGTTCAGAGATTCCACACGACTGCGTGTGGCTACAAAGGCCGGACCGGCGCCGAGCATCTGTGGCTGATGCGCCATCTAAAGGACCCGTTTGTGAAGGCCGCAAAGGTGGAGAGTTACCGCTGCCGCAGCGCCTTCAAGCTCCTGGAGATGAATGAGAAGCATCACATTCTGCAGCCCGGCCTCCGGGTCCTGGACTGCGGGGCGGCTCCGGGAGCCTGGAGTCAGGTGGCAGTGCAGAGAGTCAACGCCACAGGCGCAGGTGGGGCGTGCATGTGACTACCAGCTCTCCTGGCAGCCTTGAGCTGGAGGGAATGATAGTTAGCAGCTCTTTATTCAGAGACATTTGTTTTATTTTCTGCCTATATTTTATTTTTGTTATTGGAGACAGGGTTTCTCTGTGTAGCTTTGGGGCCTGTCTTGGAACTCGCTTTGTAGACCAGGCTGGCCTTCAACTCACAACTTTCCTCCTGCCTCTGACTCCCGAGTGGTGGGATGAAAGGCGTTCTCCACTACTGCCTGGCTTGAGCAGCTTTCTTAGAGACGACAGTTATAGAAATGGGGCACAGACTGGGGCCGTGCTGAGCTGCTAAGTAAAACAGGTGTGCGTGCAGGCACAGGCCTGTGATCCTAACATTTGGGAGGAGGAGGCAGGAGGATTAGAAGTGTAAGATCATCCCAGGTATACAGTACATTTGCAGTCCATCACAGGAGGTCCTGTCTCTCAGGAAAAAAGGTTGAAGGGGTTGGGCCGACAGGGAATGATGCTGATGTTGTGGAGATGGCTTATTCAGCAGTGGTTCTCAGCATGTGGACAGAAGGTGCTTACTGCTAACCTGATAGTGTGAATTTTCTCCCCAAGACCTATATGGTGGAGGAGAGAACATTTAAAAGTTGGTCTTTGGCCTCTGCAAGTGTGCCATGGAATGTGCCCACTTGCATACAAACACCCACACACTCATGATAAATCAACAAAGTGGGTTTTTTTTGTTTTGTTTTGTTTTGGTTTGGTTTTTCGAGACAGGGTTTCTCTGTATTGTTTTGGAGGCTGTCCTGGAACTCGATCTGTAGACCAGGCTGGCCTCGAACTCACAGAGATCCGCCTGCCTCTGCCTCCCGAGTGCAAAAAGAACCTTTTGGTTCTTTTTAAAATAACACTTTGTTGCCCGGTGTCCTGTTTCAGGACAGCCTCCAAAACAATACAGAGAAACCGTGTCTTGAAAAAACCAAAAAAAAAAAAAAAAAGAACCAAAAGGAAAACTGAAAATAGATCACATGAGTTGGCAGCCAGCCTAGGCTCTATACCAAGCCCCTGCCTCAAAACAACACCCCCCTCAAAACTAAACATTGACATCTTAGTTTTATTCCTGTTGCCCGGAAAAACACCATGACCGAAATGTAGGGAAGGGTTTCTTTCAGCTTACACGTGGGGAAGTCAGAGGCAGGAGCTGAAGCAGAGGTCATAGGGGCACTCTGCTTACTGGCTTGCAAAGCATAGGGGCACGCTGCTTACTGGCCTGCTCCTCCAGGCTGGCTTTCATTTGGACTCAGGACCATCAGCCCAGGGGTGGCGCTGCTCATGGTGGGCTGAGACATCAATCATCAATCAAGAAAAATGCCCTCTAGGCCAGCCTGATGGAGGCATTTCCTCATTTGAAGTTCTTCAGGTGACTCTAGCTTGTGGCAAGTTGACTTTTGACTAACTAGGACAAATAGAATACTGACCCTTTCAAAATGAAAGGGAAAGTCAAAAGTTACAGTGGAAAGGAAATTACACAGGGTTTCCCTGTGTAATAGCCCTGCTTTGCCTGGAATTCCCTTTGTAGACCACAAGACTAGCCTACACAGAGATCTGCCTGCCTCTGCTTCCTGAGTGCTGGGTTTAAAGGCATGCACCACTGTTGCCCAGCAGGAAAATGTATCCTAATTATACTATCTAGATAGAATCTGCTTCAGGAGTGTTATGCCATATCCTGCAACTGAGCTCTGCTGGAGTTATTTTTTTCAGAGTGACATGTTGACAAGTGTGCTGGCTAATTTTATGTCAGCTTGACACAAGCTAAAGTCATCTAAGAGGAAACCTCAGTTGAGAGAATGCCTCCATCAGCTCAGGTTCTAGGAAATTTTCTTATTTAGTGATTGATGGGGGAGGGTCCAGCCCTTGGTGCGTGGTGTCATCCCTAGGCAGGTGGTCCTGAGAAAACTATGGGGACAAACCAGTAAGCATCACTCCTCCATGGCCTCTGCATCAGATTCCTGTCCTGTTTGGATACCTGTTCTGGCTTCTTTCAGTGATGGACAGTGATATGGAAGTGTAAGCCAACTTGGTTTTTGGTTATGGTATTTCATCACCGCAATAGAAACCCTATGATAACAGGGTTTGGGGACCAGACAGTTAATGTGTCCCTGAGATTTCCAAATTGTGCCCTCAAAGCCTGAGAGTTTGCAGAAGTGGCACTGGGACTGCCACCTCCAGGACCTCAGGAAAGGGCTGCCTGGGGCTCTGGACTCCACATTCTGGGACTGTGGCAGGCTGTAGTGAGTTTATTTTATAGGAACTTAATATTCTCTATGTGAAATTCTGCCTAAATAGGAAAGAAAACAGCCACCTCTGTAACATTGTGTTGGCAATGGTGGCCACACCTGTGGCACTCTGGAGGTGGAGGCAGGCCTGAATCACACAGTTCTCAAAGAGCCAAAAGCCAGAAAGGAAGGGCTAGAGAGAGCATTGCTCTTGCAGAGAACTCGAGTTTGGTTCCCAGCTCACAACCTCATCTTCAGTTCCAGGCTTTGGACTCGGCAGACACCTGCACTTGAGTGCACATTCACACATGTAAACACACACATGTAAATAAATGATAAATCTAAAAACCAAAACAAAACAGCAGAGCCTGGTCACACATGCCTTTGATGCTAACACTCTGGAGGCAGAGGCAGCAGCTCTGTGAGTTTGAGGCCAGCCTGGTCTACATAGTGAGGCTATCTCAAGGAATATAAAGCAAGCAAACATAAAAAAACAACAACAACAAAAAAAAAAACAAAGGAATGTTGGGAGCTGGGTATGGTGGTGCCTACCTGTAATCCCAGGCACTCATGACAAGAGGAGCTTAAGTTTTGGGTCAGCCTGGGTTACCTAGTGAGATTCCCAATTCCCAGAACAGACAAAAATAAAAATAAAAATGATACTTGGAAGAAGAATTCTAGAGAAGAGGGGTCTGGGGTAGTGAACTGACAGCAAAGGGGATTTAGTACCTTGCCTGTGGTCCTAACTCCATCTGTCACAGAGGGTGATCAGGATACCATTTCCTTGTAGGTGTCAGCTTCCCCAGCTGTCCCAAGAGGAGCAGAGGACACCCTACCTGGCACAATGTGTCTTTTCTTTTTTTCATCTTTAGAGACGGGGATCTCACTTGGTAGCTCAACTTGGCCTTGAATTTGTGATGATCCTTCTGCGTCAGGCTTCCAAGTGCTGGGATTATAGGCCTGTGCTATATCTACCTTATGTGTCTTCATATGAGGCCTGTTGTGCATATCTATGCGTGTTATCTGGTTTTCTTGTCCTGGTACCTTACTTTATTTTGTAGCTTGTAGGGAGATTCACGGTGTTAAGAATGCATTCTGTTGCTTCTGTAGACTGCAGCTCTCCTGTGGGCTATGTGCTTGGGGTTGATCTTCTTCACATATTCCCTCTGGAAGGAGCAACTTTTCTGTGTCCTGCTGATGTGACTGACCCTGGAACGCGCCAGAGAATTTTAGAGCTGCTTCCCAGAAGGAGAGCGGATGTGATTCTGAGTGATATGGCGCCTAACGCCACTGGAATCCGAGACCTCGATCATGACAGGCTTATCAGCTTGTGCCTTACCCTTGTGGACATGGCTGTGGACATCCTGCATCCTGGGGGGACATTGCTGTGTAAAACCTGGGCCGGAAGAAAAAGCCACCTGCTACAGAAGAGGCTTACCCAGGAATTCCGGAACACTAGGGTGGTGAAACCAGAAGCCAGCCGGAAGGAGTCTTCAGAGGTGTACCTCTTAGCCACACAGTACCGGGGAGGGAAGGGCTCCACGGGGCAGTGAGTCTGTCCTGCCTTTCTGGAAGTGCTTTCCTGAGAGTGACTGGAATCTGAGCTGCATTGTGGATATAAATAGTACCCTGCAGCACCTTTGGGTTTCTTCTTTGTTTTTTTGTTTTTTTGGTTTTTCGAGACAGGGTTTTTCTGTGGCTTTGGAAGCTATCCTGGAACTAGCTCTTGTAGACCAGGCTGGCCTCGAACTCACAGAGATCCGCCTGCCTCTGCCTCCCGAGTGCTGGGATTAAAGGCGTGCACCACCAACGCCCGGCTTGTTTTGTTTTTCAAGACAGGGTTTCTCTGTATTGCTTTGGAGGTTGTCCTGGAACTCGCTCTGTAGACCAGGCTGGCCTCGAACTCACAGAGATTTGCCTGCCTCTGCCTCCTGAGTGCTGGGATTAAAGGTATGCACTACCAACACCTGGCCACATCTGAGTTTCTAAAAAGATGAAAAATGTATTTGAGGGTCTCGAAATTGATAAAAACAGGCCCAGCATGATGACTTAGGGAGTAACAATGCTTGCTACTGAGCCTGAGGCCCTGAATGCTATCTTCAGGACCCCTATAGTGGAAGGAGAGAACTAACTCCTGAAAAGTTGCCCTCTGACCCCCATGTGCACACAGTATGAACAAATGTATTGGGATGGTTGATACAAACCTTGCTGTGTCTGGGAAGAAAGAATCCAGCTGAGGAATTGCCCCCATCAGATTGGCCTGTGGGCAAGTCTGTGAGACATTTTCCTGATTAATAGTTGACATGGGAAGGAATGTGGGAGGGCCCAGCCCAGTGGGAGCAGCACCACCCCTGGGCAGGTAGTCCTGAGTTGTATGAGGAAGCAGGGTGAGCAGACAAGAAGCAGTGGTCCTCCATGGTCTCTGCTTCAGTTACTGCCTCCAGGTTCCTGCCCTGAGCATCCGACTCGTCTTTCTTCAGTGGTAGATTATGATTGGGATGTGTAAACCAAATAAACCCTTTCCTCCCAAGGTTGCTTTTAAGTGCCGGAAACAAAATAAAAACAGTCTTCTGTGTCATGAGTTTATCCTTCTGGCTTTTTTGTTTGTTTCTGAAATTGGGTTTCGCTATGTAGCCCAAGATGGCCCTGAGCTCACAAAATCTTCCTTCCTCACCCCCCAAGTGCTGGGATTACAAGTGTACATTGCCACACCTGGTTCATAGCAGGTTTGAAGAGAGTTATGAGGAAGATGGGTGGAGAGTGAAGGATGTAAAAAGGAGGGGGGAAAAAAGCTTCGTGGTGGTGGCCCAGGCCTTTAATCGCAGCTCTCGGGAGGCAGAGGCAGGCGGATCTCTGAATTTGAGACCAGCCTGATCTACGAAGCGAGTTCCAGGACAGTCAGGGCTACACAGAGAAACCCTGTCTCAAAAAAAAAAAAAAAAAAAAAAAAGAACAAAATGGGCTGGAGAGATGGCTCAGTGGTTAAGAGCACTGACTGTTCTTCCAGAGGTCCTGAGTTCAATTCCCAGCAACCACATGGTGGCTCACAACCACCTTGAACGAGACCTGGCGCCCTCTGCTGGCATGCAAGCAGAAGACTGTATACACAATAAATAAATAAAATATTTGAAAAAAAAAAGAACAAACAAAACCCCCAAAACTTGAAGTGGCTGGAGAGATAGATCCGTCATACATTCCAGCAAAACACCCACACACATAAATTTGAGACGAGAATCATGTAAAGAGCCACCCCTTATAGACCCAGAGAGAGGGTGTGGCAGTTGGGTCTGTGCCGTTGTTAGCAGTTCTTTGTGCTATGAAGGCCTCTGCACTGACTCCAGTGGCCTGCTGGGCAGTCCAGGGAAGTGCTCCACTCTGGTTTGGGTAAAAATGGCTGCCAGAGTTCACAAAGGCTTTTCACTGCCAAAAGTCTAGCTAAGGGTATTTGAAACAGTCAGGACATTTGAAGCCAGACTCAAACCTTGGCACCCAGCAGCTGCAGTCACTGTGTAGCTTCCTCAGTGGATCTGTAGAGGGTGATGGAGGAGGTCTTCTAAACCAGAAAGTGTTGATGCAAAACATGACTTTTACCTCAAAGGGGATAAGAGATAGTTTATATTGTAGCCCAATCTGAATGACGGTGGCTCAGAAACACACAAATCCCATGCTTCGGCATCATAGTAGTTTAAGTTTCTGTAGTAAAACTTTCCTTCTTTTTTTTTCTCCCTAGTCAGGTGTATAACCCTGACTGTCCTGAAAATCCCTCTACAGACCAGGTTGGCCTTGAACTCACAGAGATCTGTCTGCCTCTGCCTCCCAAGTACTGGGATTAAAGGCACTGCATTGCTACCACCTAGCAGTCAAGGTACCTTTCAAACACACTGGAAACATTAAGTAGACTTTTTTTTTTTTTTTTTTTTTGGTTTTTTCGAGACAGGGTTTCTCTGTGGCTTTGGAGGCTGTCCTGGAACTAGCTCTTGTAGACCAGGCTGGCCTCGAACTCACAGAGATCCGCCTGCCTCTGCCTCCCGAGTGCTGGGATTAAAGGTGTGCGCCACCAACGCCCGGCCACATTAAGTAGACTTTATAGCTTAGAGAAATATTGGCTTTGTGCCTCAGATGGTATCTGATGACATCTGGCCTTTTAGTTGGTGGATATTAAAGGTTGTCAAGTTAATGCATCCTAAAGGTTTTATCTGTTATTCACAGGATGTTAGGTGAGACACAGAGGTGGGCAGGGAATGGCTATTTAGAGTGTCTAAACAGTCAGAGGTAAGTCTTAATTAGGCTCCAGACCTGCCACCTCCCAAACTGCCTGCAAACAGAAGCTCAATCAGTGCTGCAGACAGTTCAGTTGAAGATACAGTTGCTTTCTGAAGACTTTCCTTCTGTTAGCTGGGTGATAGCGGTGGCACACACCTTTAGTCTCAGCACTTGGGAGTCAGAGATAGAGAAACTCTTGTATCGAAAATTAAAAAAAAAACAAAAAACATACATTGTAAGCATTTTGGACAGATTGGATGGGACAGGTATCTGGTACTCGGGAGTCACACAATACTAAGTGTTACACAGCTTAGATGGAAAGGTAATCTGGACCTCGGGAGCCAAGGACTATCACAGGCCACAGTAAGCATAGCAGCTTGACATCCCTGCCTCAGGGAAAGGCTTCCCCAGTATATCAGCTCTGCTCCAGCAGGAGAGGGTCTTCCAGCTGGGGTTGTTTGCCCAGTGTAGCAGTTTTGCTCTGGGCGAAGTTGCTACAGTTCAGCTCTGCTCCTGGGAGAGTGGAGACTCCGCTCTGCCAGGGAAGGTTTCCCCGGCAATCAAAAGTGTTACAGCCCTGCTCCCTCTGCCCACGGTTGGTCGTCTCTGCTCCACCACAAAAGAAGGTCTTCACCCAAAGCTCATTGAAGGGGTTTATTGGGAGGGAAGAATCCAGCAGAGTGGCAGAGGGCAGCTGAGTAGCAGGAACAGCCACAAGTTGGACAGACACAGGGTTTATATAGGGCTTCCAGGGTGGGGATTGGTCAGATTTTAATCTCTTGCTCAGGGATTGGCTAGTTTCCTGCTCTGGTATTAGGGCCAAAGTGTGTTTGTTTCACTGATCCTTTTTAGTCTTTTGGCTCTAGTTTTAGGGCCAGGGTGTATTTCTTTCACTAGCTCTGACTCCAGGGACAAAGTGTGTTTCTTTGGCACTAGTTTCAGAGTCAGTGTACATTTCTTTGGTTCTAGTTGCAGGGCCAAAATGTGTTTCTTTGACTCTGCTCACTGTGTATTTCTTTGGCTGGACCCTTTTCCCTACATACATCACACACACACACACACACACAGAGTTAAGCCTGGGGTAGTGGTGCATGTGTTAATACCAGCACCCATCCTGAAAAACAAAAACCGAAAAGGATATGCTGCACTGGTATCAGAGATGCACTGTTTACACTGTAATCTAGAAGGTTCCGTCGTCAAGGGTGGGTGATATGTTGCCATCAGTTAGGGTTGACCTTCCTTGCCCTCCCTTCATCTTGCTGCTCAAGGAAGAACCACAGAGCTCTTCTGACATGTAGACCCCTGGGGAAGCTCAGTTTGGATTTCCAGTGGGCACAGGAAAAAGTACAAGACTATAGTAATTTAAGCCAACACTGTTATCACACACATGTAACACAAGTGATTTGGGAGTCCAAGGCAGGATGACCAAGAGTTCTAGGCCAGGGTGGGCAATTTAACGAGACCCGTGGAATTAAAATAAGAAGTGCTGGGAAAGTCTGACCTGGGTGTGGTGAGTTCCATCATTGTCTCAGCTCTAAGTCTTTCCTTGCCTTCAGCTGACACACCATAAATCATTTTTGTGGAGATAAGTTCTTCCTGTGGTTGCACCTGTGGCACAGCCTTTTCTTCTCCTGAGAGGATACCCTTAGGAGGAGTCTAATATCTTGGGGTCCTTTGTTTCAGGGATCTGGTAACCAAAGGGAGAGTCCAGAGGCAGGCCAGTTTCACCAGCACTCAGGAGTTTGTGAGTGGATTTCTGTGAGTTCAAGGCCAACGTGGGCTACCCAGTGAGTTCTAGGCTAGCCTGGGTACAGGGTAAGATTCTATTTCTTGGGTGTTGGAGGTGAGAGATAGTTTATTCTTGAACTAAATGTGAATGATCATGGACTGGAAACAGACTTAGGTTACCCCAAATTCCATGTTTTGATGTGGAAGCAGTGAGGAAGTTTTTATAGTAACAGAACAAAGAAAGTTATGAATCAAGGAACTTTAAAAATACATTGGTGGGGGTTGGGGAAATGGCTCAGAGGTTAAGAACACCAACTGCTCTTCCAGAGGTCCTGAGTTCAATTCTCAGCAACCACATGGTGGCTCATAACCATCTATAATGAGATTTGATGCCTTCTTCTGGCATGCAAGAATACATGGAGGCAAAATGTTGCATACATAATAATAAATAAATCTTAAAAAAATACATTGGTGGTAGCCGGGCTCATGACTTTAATCCTAGCACTTGGAAGGCAGAGGCAGGCAGATCTCTGTGAGTTTGAGGCCAGTCTGATCTACAGAGTCAGTTCAGTGACCAGTCCAGGACAGGCTCCAAAGCAACAGAGAAACGTTGTCTGGAAGAAACAAAACAACAACAACACAT